GCAGAAAAAAAGAAAGTTGTACATAATCCCACCACTCAGAGATCTCCGCTATCAGAATTTGATACTTTCTCTCAGAGTGCATGTGTACACATGCGTATCCAGGTTCTCTTTTTTTCTTTTAAATCAAGTAGATATAAAAACAGGTTATAGTTTTATGATCTGCCTTTTTCTCTTAAAACTATTGTCATGCATTTAAACATCTGCAGAGTAATGTATTTAATAGCTGACTAGTATTCCCCTCTGTGGCTGTACCAGATTTACCAAGACAATTCTGAAATGCTCAATATTAAGATTATTGCAGATTTTTCAATATAATACCCAGCATATGACTAACATCCTTTGTATACCTTTACAAACATCTCAGAGTTTTCTGCAGGATAAATGCCTAAAAGTGAAATCAGTGTGTTAAAGAATGTTTACGTTTGTAAGACTTTTCATGTGTATTGTCCAACTGACTTCTGGAAAGTTGCATCAGAAACGGACAGTGCCATCATAATCATATTTGAGGCAGAGCATCTCTGAGGTTGCTAATTTGCTGTTAAAATTTCACTAAGGTTATATCTTAAATGAGTTTGAATTGATACGTGCTTAGTAATTTATATCCAGGTTACCCGGAATACTAATAGGGCAATTTCCAAAGCTTAGAAATTATGGGGGGCGGGGGAAGACAAAAAGAAAGATAAGCCATTAATTGACCCCTCCCCCCACACGCACACACAAACATGCTTACTGTCTCTCTTTATCTTTCTCCATCTCATTCTCCCGTCTTGCTCCCCCTTATGCACACATGCACACACACACACACGCACACACTCCTCTTCAAAAATTATATTATCAGATGTCTTTTTTTATTAGAAGTAAGAAGCAACCTTTCACTACAAAAAAGTATTCACTGTTTCTTCTTGCTGGCCCAGTCTTTACTTGTTCAAGAAATTGTTTTATCTTAGATCTGAGAGAAAATAAGAAAGAAAAACATTATAAAATATGACCCTTATCCATTAATGGATGCTTACTTTGCCTTTAATTCTAGTTTCAATGCATTACTCTTAATTGACTTCTGCAACTTAAACCAAGAAAAAGAAATTTTAACAGCATAATGTAAAATTTTATATATGCATAATTAACTGTAAAATTATTAAAATTATACATATAGTGGTAGGTACAGTTTCAGTCTCTTCATATGTC